GTTTTTGTTTGTTTGTTTGTTTGTTTGTTTGTTTTAGCTGGAGTTTCACTTTTGTCATCCAGGCTGGAGTGCAGTGGTGTGATCTCGGCTCACTACAATCTCCACTGGCTGTGTTCAAGCAATTATCCTGCCTCAGCCTCCCGAGTAGCTGGGATTACTGGCACCCGCCACCATGCCTAGCTAACTTTCTGTATTTTTAGTGGTGACGGGCTATCACCATGTTGGCCAGGCTGGTCTTGGACTCCTGACATCATAATTCACCCACCCTGGTGAATTCCAAAGTGCTGGGATTACAGGCTTGAGCCACCGCTCCTGGCAGACCACTAACTTTTGCTGAGCCTCTCCTGCATTCTGTTTTCTTCACGTCAGGCACTGGGCAGCCCCTGGTATGTAGGTAACTTGGTAAGACATGATGTTCTTTGCCTCTGAGGAGCTTACAGAGTGATCAGGACAAGAGATCTGTGAAGAGATCATTACAGCATGACTCTACAAAGAATATGTAATGGGAACACGCAGAGGGAACAATTACCTGTTCTTTCTTGGGATGGGGGAGGAATAGAGCTAGTTTTTCAGAGATAAACAGCATAGTCTCAACCTAAAGAGACACACATTCCAGGCAGAGGAGGCAATGTGCACAAGCACAGGCCTGGCCAGGGAACAGTGAGCAGTAGGCAGGGGCGGGGGTGAAAGGAGGCTGGGGCCCACAGTGGCGGGTCTCATATGTAGGCTAAGGAAGTAATCCTTTATCCTCTAGGAGCCAAAGAAGCATTCTACATAGGCGGATCTAGTAACTCCAGCAGCAGGGTAGATGATGGTTTGGCGTAAGGAGAGAGCAGAGACAAGGAAACCAATAGGAGGCTGTGGCCAAGGTCCAGGAGACATTGAGAGTCTGAGATAATGTCTTAAATCTTGTGAAGTGGGCCGGGCATGATGACTCATGCCTGTAATCCCAGCACTTTGGGAGGCTGAGCTGGGAGGATTGCTTGAGCCCAGGAGTTTCAGACTAGCATTGGCAACATGGTGATACCCTGTCTCTACAACAACAGCAGCAAAATAAACATTAAAAATTAGCCAGGGGTTGTGGAGTGTGCCTGTCATTCCAGCTACTGGGGAGGCTGAGACAGGAGGACTGCTTGAGTCTAGGATGTCAAGGCTGCAGTGAGCTATGATTGTCGCACTCCACTCCAGCCTGGGCAACAGAGCAAAATCCAGTCTCAAAAAAAAAACAAATCTTGTGAATGAAGGGGAAATAACCAAGGCCTTCTCAATTCACTGAAAGGAAGATTTATTTCTCTGTAGCTTTCAAGGACACTCTTAGTATTAAATGAAGAGGGTTTTTAAAAACGGGTAAAAAAGACCAGCATGGTGGCTCCCGCCTGTAATCCCCTATAATTCCAGCACCTTGCAAGGCCTAGACAGGCAGATCACTTGAGGTCAGGAGTTCGAGAGCAGCCTGGCTGATGTGGTGAAACCCTGTCTCTAGTAAAAACACAAAATGGCTGTGAAAGGCTGAACTTTGAGCTTGACCTTAGTGCTTAAGCTATCAGAAAAGTAAATAATGATTCTTATATGCTGTGTCAGAGACTGCTTGTTATCTTCAATATCTGTTCTGTTTTACTCTTCTTTGGTAATGTAATTTTTTGTTTTTAGCTGACCACGTGGCTATAGGGAATAATGATGGTGATTTTTAACCTCATTTGCAGCTAGATACACTATGTTGTTTATTTCTTCTGGCCCACAGGATGTGAGCAGATGTGTTATGTGTCATTTCCAGGAAGTATCATTAAAGGGTGGGATGTGTACCTTCTTCCTAGCTCCCATCTTCTTATGACCAAAATGAGAAGGTAATGCCTACCACCTCCGCAGCCACTTGAACCACAGAGTGATCTACAGAATGGATGCAATGCACAGCAGAGCAATGAAATAGAAGGTTTCTTGGTCCCTATCATCATGAAGCTGCCCCGCACTGTTCACCATCAGACCTATACAGTAGAAGAACTAAGTTTCTCTCTTGTACAAACCATTTTTTATTTTGCACGCAAACCTAATCCTAACCCTAAGTGGCTTAAAATGAAACTTGAAAAGGAACCTAAAAGCTAAGCTTCATTTCAGCACCTTTTAGACTCAAATGATCTCAAAGCCCTTAGTGACTTAACCTTGAGGAGCTTCATACTTACTTGTCCATTTGCTGCTGCTATAATAGAATGCTACGGACTAGGATGTTTACAGATAATTCAAGTTTATGTGGCTTATAATTCTGGAGGCTGGGAAGTCCAAGATCAAAGGTCTGCATCTTGTAAGGGCTGTCTTGCTACATCATAACATGGTGGAAGGCAGCACTTGGCAAGGAAGTACATGAGACAGAGAGAGGAATGTGGCTGAACTCCCAAATTAATGAACACACTCTTGTAAGAACAGCATTAATCCATTCATGAGGGCAGACACCCTCATGACCTAATTGACTCTTAAAGATCTTACCTCTTAGTGCTCTTACAATGGCAGTTGAATTTCAACGTGAGTTTTGCAGGGAACATTCAAATCATGGCATTCATTTGTTTATGTAGTTTGGAAACACTACCACAATTTGGGAAAGGAAAAAGGAAATAATTGAGATGGCCAATATCACACAGCTTTTGGATTATTGTTGTTTCACCACAAGCTCCAGGAATCTGCCACCCTTGTTGGAGTTGCCTGGGCACGTCCACAGGGAATTCAGAGGTGTCTCATTTCCTCCAGGGAAGCACTTTTCTCTGCCTCCTTGAGCATGGTGGGTGCAAGTTAGGTTGGTCTGAAAGTGAATGTGCTGCTGTTGGCTGTTCTAACATGTCTGTCATAAGAAGCGACAGAGTGAAATCTCATTACTGAGGACTACACTTCTGTAACAAACTCAAGAAGAAATAAATTTCCATAAAAGTTAATGATGCTGTAGAAAAATTTTTTAAAGTGAAGAACAACTTCCATGAATAAATTCTCAACTAGTTCAAAAGAGCAGGAACACAATTTGAAATGCACGATGATTACCAAAGCATCAGGAGTTCAGTCTAGGTCCTGCTGCTTACCCCAAAGAAAGCCAATCACTGAGACAATGATTCACTCAAAGATCACCCCAGAGTTCAAAGTGGCTGCTGAGGCTCTAGGCATTGCCTCTTGCCAAGGAAGAAGGCTTTAATCAGGTGCTGCAGCTGAGAAGATGGAGATCAGTCTCCACTCCATCTCCCTGGACAACTAAAATTAGGGGTTTATATAGCAAGGAAGAAATGTAACAATGTGTAGGAAAATGGGAACTCTTGAGAGGCCTAAGGGAGAAATCACAATGAATGAGGGGTCTGGCATCTCATTGTCTGCATGTGGTGATCTAGTGAGTTTCAGTTCTTTATACTTTTTGAGAAGTCTGGGGTCCTTTACTGAGGAAGGAACTCAGATAAAACAAATATAAGTTTCAGGCTTTAAGACCAGAGGGGTAAATTTCTATCTTCATCAGAAAGAACTGTCTTTGGGACTATTGGGTGCGTTTCAGTCCCCTCTTTTATCAATTCCTCATTTTTGGGGAATCTGGTCATAGATCTTTCCGGCTGCTCTTTCGTAATATCTAAGGCAGATATTACTTCTAAAATCACAGGGTATACAGCCTGTAGTGATATTATTCATAATATCTAAGGCAGATATTACTCCTAATATCACAGTGGGGGTACACCCTGTAATGATATTATTTGTAATTTCTAAGGGAGGTATTTATCCAGTATCACGGGGGTGGATATCCTTTGAAAATATAATTTGTAATGTCTAAGGGAGATATTACTCCTAATATCTTCTTTTAGATATTAGAAATAATATCACAGGGTGTACACCCACCCTGTGGTGATATTAGGAGTAATATCTTCTTTAAAATATTACTAAGGTTTTACATGACCTTGTGGCTTCTGCTGTCTTGAATGGCCTTTGACATCCCCTAAGGGAGCTCACTCTAGAGGCCTTCATCAGAGGCCACGTGAAGACAGAGGCTCTGATACCATATTAACCATGTTTTTTTATGTATCCTGACGCTTTGACATCTAGGGCCTTGCTGACCTTGCCAGGCCTGTCCCTCCCAGGGTTAGCCAGTTCCTAGAGACAGTAAACAACTTGCCCATGAGCGTGCTTTTCACACACAAGCTAACCAGTCCAGAGCTCATGCCCCCAGTTACCTACTCCATCAGCCTTCCACAGGACTCACACACTCTAGGCCACTGTTCCTCTGCCCTAAGCACCCCAGGGCCAGGTACCAGACAACTAGGGAGAGCCCCTATACCCAGAGCCTGCTGAAATTACTCAAACTTAATAGCTAACCTTAACCCTGCTCATCTTGCCTCACTCCTTCCCGTGGAAACCACCATAAAGGCTCTGCTCATGTTTTTCCATCACTCCTGCCTTCTTGCTGACCATAGTGTCTCCCTATTTGGTGCTGCATGGCACAGCACTTTCCCTTCTCTTGGGATCTGTGAGTAACAAACTCTCTTTTCAGTGGCAATCGACCCTTGATCTGTCGGTCTCTCCGTACCTGAAGAATAATGCAACCCATATATATTTTTAAATCAACTAAAATTTATTTAATTAAGCATAAAGTTACTTTCACATTTGGCTATAACCACAGTAAATACAGTTCTTGGCATAAGGCCATGGCCTTTAAAATTTAAAGCCTCCCCACCCGCAAAATTACATATATAAAACTCCCACTATTGTTTCTATAATAGTGGATTTGTTCATCAAATTAAAATAGTTATACTATCTAGAATAAAATAAAATGGAAATAATTTACTCATAAGATTCATATTTAAATCATCCTTATTTACAATATACTATCCTGAGAATTATAATTCCATTAAGTTTCAATTTGAGCAAAGTGTAATCATTGAAGTAACAGCAGTTACTTCAACTGAAATGAGAACAGTCAAAATGACTTTTGAAGAGAGCAAAAATATTGTCAGGTTTCTTGCCGTGGTTCTGAATCTTCAGTAGCAGGCTCATTTGAAGGCAGACTCAACCCTGAAAGGAACTCGCTCTATCTTCAGAATGTGGGGGTGGAGGGGGCAAAATCCAGGTCTTGGGGGAAGGTAAGGAGGAAAACCCCTCGGTGGATAGACATTTCTCATTGCAAATGGAGCACGTGGTGGACCTGGGACATCCCTTGGTGGAAAATAATCTGGAGAAACTCCAAACATGGTTCCTGGAGGAGGTGGAGGGAAAGGAGGTCCCCTTCTCATGAACGGGCCCCTCATATCCACTGGCAACAACGGACCTCTGATTGGAGCGAGAGCTGGAGGAACAAAGCCCGGGCCAGTTGCTTCATTTTCAGCGGGGAGAGATGAATCAGGCACATTTAAATTACCAAGATTATCTTTGGTATCATTTCTACTGGATTCCATTTCTGAAGGCATTGACCCATCCATTTTATCCGAAGAAGGCATATTAAAACTTCCGAGTTCTGCTGGTCCAGAGCGTCTAGCAGAATTAGAATAAAATGTGTCTTGCCTTTGTGGAGGAAGAGCTGAATCAGGATATGATTGTCCTGGTGGAGGAAACATCATCCTACGGTCCTGTTCCCACGGAGGCGACAGGGGCCCAGTGTCAGAAGGAGCCCTATGAGGACTGGTTAACCTCTCACAGCTTGATTCTCCTCTTTCATTGGTAATCTGATGGTCCAGAGGATTCCCTGGGCCTCTTGGGCCTCTTCCTCCTCCCACTGGAAGCGAAGGTGAGAGTCTCCGTGGACCCTCCGACAAAGCTGGAGGACAGAGAAAAGCTCTCGTTTCAGATGAAGGCCGACCCAGTGGAGAGGGACCATATGAGGAATGCTGTCTGCCAAATGCTGTATTTGGAACATTAAGTGCATAAGGATCTTTTTCTAAAAGTTTCATTTTAAACTCTGTTTCGGCTAATTTTTGTCTGTTGTGAGCATTTTCTTTCCTTAAATCATTGAGGTTTCTTTCAGCAATCCAAGCTGCCAAACAATTACCATCTACCTTTTTCTTATAGGAAATAATCTTCCCTTGATAAAAATGAAGAACTCTCTCAAATTGTTCTTCCAGATCTTTGGCTCGTTTTCTGCAGGTCTCCAGCTCTCCAGTGCCATGGCTGATCGTTTCGTCTACTTTAGAAAGTTTCTCTTCTTTCTCTAACCAGTAATTTCCCTCTACTAGTAATTTCCTGTATAGCTTCATTCTCTTTTCTTGATATAATTCTGTCATTACCTTTAGTTTCTGTTGAAGCTTCTGATTCTCACTTTCAAAGTGTGTGTTTTCCAACTGCAAAGATGCTTGTTCCGTCTGAAGGTTTTTAATATGCTCTCTGAGTTCCTTCTCGGTTTCATCAACTTCAGATAACTGAATATAAAGTTCGTTTCTTTCTCCTTCTAAGGTTGTTAAAGAATCATTTAACTTAGCTGCACGAATCAGTTTCTTCAAAGCTCGTTTTGGAGGATTATCTAAGTTAGCACCATCTTCTGATTCACTGTACATTTCGAATTCCAAGTTACCATCATCTGTTATGTCTTCTTCCAGCATAGCACCCAGATCTTTCATCTTTTGCAAGCGTTCAGTCAGAGTCTTGATGTGATTTTCTTTACCATTTAGAACTTGTTCTGCATGTACTTTGGAGTCTTCAAATGTTATTTTCTGTTTATTAAGTTCACTCACTTGTTCTTTCCATACTTCAGCTTCTTGCAAAAGCTGTTTCTGGCTTTCCCGAAGTTGAGAATTTTCATTCAAAGCATCTTGTATTGCTATCTTCAGTCGTTCTTCATTCATTTGAAATCTCTTCAAGGTCATTTTGGCTTCAGCTACTTGGGATTTGAGGGATTTTGACTCATCTTCTAGAGACTGTATGCCTTTGCAAATATCCGCCATCAATTCATCTTGTTCAGAATGTTTCGATTTCTCTTCTTTTAACTCTTTTTCTAGACAGAGTATTTCATGCTCAAGTTCAGAATTGGACCGGTTCAGCTTTTCACAGGTGGCCTCCAAATTTTGTTCTTCTGTTGCCTCCTTCTCAGAGCTGGCATCCTCTAAAGATGACTCTACTTCATAGGCTTCATACTCTTTTTGAACAAGGCTAAACTTTTCAAGTAGTCTACATTTTTCTTCAATTAGTCCAGAAAGCGCCTCAGCAAGGTTTTTCTCTCTTCCCGCATAAAGCTGACTCCTAACCGATCTAAAACTTCTCCACAAGAAAAAGGGAACAGCAAAAAATCCAACGACAGCTGCACGTATCACCAATTCCCATGGAAAACCATAAGGAGTCGAATCTGGTCTCCTGCCTTCAGGCAGTGCTGCCATAACCCTGCGTGGCTTCTCCAGGAGCAGCCCCCAGTAAGGCTGAGGGGTAGTCCCGGGCTCCTCCATAGCGCCAAGGCTGCTCTGGCGGTGGCCACCGCAGTAACCCAGGCCGTCCGGGCCACAGTTAGCCGCGAAGAACACACAGGCTTAGGTTAGGAACAGAATCTGCACCTGGCCACCGGAGCAGACCACTGCGGTTCCGGCTGCGGGGGGAGCTGGGGGACGCGGGAACCCACAGACCTTAGGGGGTCGCGGGAACCCACAGACCTCACAGGCCCATAGAAAACGTACAGTAAAAATATAGCATTAAAGATTTTTTTTTAAAGATATCCTTCTATAGAGTACTTATCATAAATAAATGGAGCTTGCAAGATTGAAAATTGCTGTGGATTAGTTAGTAAGTGGTGAGTGAATGTGAAGGCCTAGGGCATTACTGTACACTACTGCAGCCTTCACAAGCACTGCACACGTAAGCCACACTAATTAATTAAAATTGTTTTAGTCAATATAAATTAACCTTAGCTTACTGTAACTCTTTTACTTTATAAATGTTTAAATTTTTTTAACTTTTTTACTTTTTTGTAATAACACTTCACTTACAACCACATTGTATAGCTGTACAAAAATATTTTCTTTATATCCTTACTTTGTAAGCTTTTTTCTATTAATTTTTTTTTTTTTTTTTTTTTACTTTTTAATAGTTTTTTGTTAAAAACCAAGACATAGACACACACATTAGCCTCAGCCTACACAGTGTCAGGATCATCAATATCACTGTCTTCCACCTCCACATCTTGTCCCACTGGAAGGTCTTCAGGGTGGATAACACGCATGGAGCTGTCGCCTCCTATGATAACAATGCCCTCTTTTGGATACTTCCTGAAGGACCAGCCTGAGGCTGTTTTATGGTTAACTTCTAACCGTACACTCTAAAATAATGACAAAAATTATAGTACAGGTTGGTCCAGTGATAGTGGGTTATCACAACTTACAACATTTAGTGTCACTAAAGTTGGTATAAAACTCTCCACTGCTAAATTTAAATGGTTTACAGTTTTTGTGTGTTTTTTTCTTTTTGTTTTGTTTTTTGAAAAAAATAGGCTGGGTGCACTGGCTCATGACTGTAATCCCAGCACTTTGGGAGGCTGATGCAACCAGATCACTTGAGGTCACGATTTCAAGACCAGCCTGGCCAATATACTGAAACGTCTCTATTAAAAACACAAAATTAGTTGGGCATGGTGGTGCACACCTGTAATCCCAGCTACTCAGGAGGCTGAGGTAGGAGAATCACTTGGACCAGGAGACAAAGGTTGCAGTGAGCTAAGATAGCACCACTGCATTTCAGCCTGGGCAATAGAGTGAGACCCCATCTTAAAAAAAGAATAATATAGTATATACATAAATGTCAATTCCTCATTCATGAGGAATCTTGTTGATCATTCCAGTTTCTTCATATTGAGGAGGGGCATCCTGGGCAACCTCATACCATGGGTAACTATGTCATCCCCCAGGAATCACAGGTTAATGTAATACTGTCCTTTTCTTCTGAAACAATCTTTCTTTTTCCAGTCCCCTACTTCCACCAAAGACAAATGTCAGCAAGACAAACCTACCTGCAAAATAAGCTGCAGTCCCATAAACGTGGCCTGATTACCCCAGAAAGTGCAGCAAGAATTACTGTCCACATAGGCTCTCCTAAATTGGCCTTGCTGGAACCTCTCACAAGGTCATTTCAGTCAAAGACCTGGGTAAATAGCCAGTTCATCCACCTGTGTCACAGTATAAAATACAATAGATTCTTATTGAACTTATGCAAACAAACACATTGCCATTAATTAAGAATATTCACAAATAATTTATAAATTATGAAGAAATTAGGCATAGAGAGAACTATACCTCAAATTCTGTTTGAGGAAAGCACATTGTATTCAATATACTTAAAGTATACTCAGAGGCAATGAAAGCTCCAAAGAAAAAAAATTCTCCAGGCTCTGAAAAACAAAACAAAAAAAATCAGCAATATTTCAAATGAA